CCCCAAAACCCCAAAACCCCAAAACCCCAAAACCCCAAAACCCCAAAACCCCAGATAAGGGGATTCTCCTTGAAAACATTCAAAATGCATAATTTGATTTACTTCTGGTAATTCTCAGTTGGTCTCAAGTCGTCAAAAATTCCTTTATCAGCATCATTACGATGGTTCTTAAGAAAAGACCTGATGCTAGTGTTGATGTTGTCGCCCATGTAATTCACAGGATTGTCCTTGTAATCCCTTGGCCGGTTCACAATACAGTCTTTGTAACGATGCTCGTGGTCAGTCAAGGGCTTCATATTCCCATTGAATAAAATGTACGAACAAACTTTGGATTTCTTGTCCTTCTCCTGAAATTTATAAAAGAGCTCCTCTATCTTCTTGTTCTTGTGCAAGTCACGGAAGAATAAGCGGGGCGTCATCTTAGGCCTCTGAGAATCTAGATAGTTCGAAGGTGGCTTCTGGAGAGATAAACGCTTGGTTATAAAACTAGAGTTTCTCTTATCAGCCGTGGTTGGAGACATGCCTATATTTAGCAGTCAATTTCCTACTTATTGTATAATTTGTAGGCGCTTTCTTCCTAATGCTGGTCTGAAACGGCTTTGGTCTGGAGGTTTGAAACCCAATCTCACTGATCTATATAATAAAATGAATTAATTTTCAAGAAATATTGTCTCTAAAGGAAAGTTACCTCTTTAAATTTGTTCAAAACTGCCTTCCTCTCAACGCTGCTTGAGCGAAAATTGAACATTTTCGATTTAGCAACGGGATCTGGCTTGGTCATCAAAAGCAAAGGTTTAATCCTTTTCTTCTTATTTTCAATCATACTGGATTTTCTTTTTGAGTTGTTTTACCAAAGAACTCTTCAGCTTACCTAGAGAGCTGTACTTATCCATCTCAGCAGCCATCTCTGATGGTTGTGGATGCTGTAGAGTAGCGGGTGTCCTTATTGGGGAATCTAGGAGTTAGCTAAATAATACCAAAATTCTCTCCATGTCTTAGAGAAGGATATTGACGCTTTGACACTCTCATAAACCACCCTCCCTTTCCACTGGTGTTAATCTGGGATAAAGCGTCAGTACTAATCCCAGCAGCCCTGCTGCCGGGACTAGTTGAGAAACAGTTTTGATGCATTTATTTCTAAATATTTATAATTTCTATTAAAATTTTAAGTAAAGGGGTTTTGGGGTTTTGGGGTTTTGGGGTTTTGGGG